AAATGCTCAATGCAATCTCTTTCATAACCACCATCAAGAAAAATATATTATTTTACATAGTTTATTACATCTCAAGCAAGGTTTCTACTTATTAACTTTATATTTATAAGATTTTTTAATGTATGAGTGTATGCATGAGTGGTTTTCATGAGATTATTTACTATTTAAAACTAATTATTATTATAATTTTATTTTATGTGTAGCTAAAATGAATACTTTCATCAACAACAACAACAAGTTCAACAAGAAGAAAGTGGTGTTCATAATGGGAGCAACAGGAACGGGAAAATCTCGTCTCTCTGTTGACCTTGCCACCCATTTTCGAGGAGAAATAATCAACTCGGACAAAATGCAAGTCTATAAGGGACTTGAAATCGTGACCAACAAGATCACACACGCTGATAAACAAGGTGTACGACACTATTTGCTAGGTATACATATTTGAAAAAGACATTTTTTTGTGATTCCTTTATTTTAATGTGAATATTAATTGACAATTATTTTGTTTCACAATTTTTTAGGTGAAATTGAGCCAGATTCAAACTTCACGGCCGAAGATTTCTGTCTGAAGTGCAATATCTACATAGAAAAATTTTGAAGGCTCAATGTGTTCCAATTATTGTTGGAGGGTCAAATTCGTATATTGAAAAACTTGTGGAAGACCCTGTATTCATGTTCAAACATAAGTATGACGGTTGCTTTATTTGGATTGATGTAGAGCAATCAGTCTTGAACCGTAGAGTTGACACGAGGGTTGATGAAATGGTCAATGCAGGTAGTTTTTGTAGTTATTTTATATATGAATCAAAATATAATAATGACTCTAACTAAAACTTTTCTTATATAGTTTTCTTAATAATACTTTTGGTTTTCAAATATATGTTCACCTAAATAAAACTATTCTTAAATTTATGTTGCATGCAGGGCTGGTGGATGAGGTGAGGCAAATTTTCATTCCAGATGCAGATTACACCAAAGGAATCCGACTGTCCATTGGTGTCCCTGAAATGGCCAAATATTTAAGGGAAGAAAAAAATATAGACGGAGATGATGAATCAAAGAAGATGATTCTTCAAGCTTCAATTTCAAGTATCAAGCGTAATACTCGTATATTAATTTGTAACCAACTTGACAAGATTCAACGATTAATAAATGAGAAAATGTGGTCGGTGCATCATATTATTGCTACTGACGTTTTCAAAGAAGATAGAAAAGAAGTTGTTGACGAAGCATGGAGGAATACTGTTTTGCAACCATGCCTAGATATTGTGGAAAGATTTCTCAAAAATGATGATCACAATATTAGTATTGAGTGTACATAAACTATTATTATCTCTATCTTGTGTTATTTTTTCTCTTGGTCACTTTAATTTTTGACCTATTTTGTACAGTTTGTATCGAACTACAGATATATATACTATTCTTGTCTGTAAAATCATTGTTATTTATAGAGTAAATATTTAAGCTTTATAAAAATATTTATTTTAAGGTCCGATCCAAGCCCAAGCCAAGTCCAAGTCCAATCCAAGTCTTTGATATTTAATATATATTAATATAAATACCTACTTACACAATTACATGAGATCATTCTTAATGTCAAGGTAATAGAGTGAAAAAATAAATGACTATGAATGTTTGGGAAGATTCTAACCTTAAAGAATAACATTCTTAACTCCAAATTTAAAATTGTTCATAGACAAAGAAGAGAATATAATAAATTTGCAATCTATCGGTAAGGATCATTTAAGGAAATATATTCTACCTAATTCAATCACGATGATGGAAGCTTCATTCAATAAAACATTTATCTATTATTACATGCTGCACAAGTAAATATAAATAATTGTAATTGAAATAGTTATCGATAATTGTTCCTTCCCTTCTAATTGAATTAGACTTAGCACTTATGACGTGTTGTTAAATAGTGTATGAATTGACGCATTATCACTTGAATGTATTCCTTCAGAAATATTATTGAGTTCTTTTTACAATCCTTTTGAAATCCATATTTTCGTCAATCTTGTATGTGATCTCATAACAATGTGCATCTAGAAACTTCATTCTAAAATTATTTAAGCCTAATCACCCAAATTCAAGCTGACGTATCTGTAGGTTTTTTCAAGAATTATTCTTATCCTAAAAGATATGATTTTTTTTAAAATTTGGTATATACCAATTCATAAGTTCATAATCACATTTTTACTATAAATGCCCAGTTAAATGCGATCTCCAAACAATGTACATTTGTTAACTTTATCCTAAAATTATTTACTTGTCATTACCAAAATTCCAGTTGACATATCTATACATTTTTCAAAAGTCATTGATCCTTATCCTAAAAGATATCAGTATTTCTGAATATGGTATGATAATTAATAAGTCCACAAATACATTTTACTATAAATGCTCAATGCAATCTCTTTCATAACCACCATCAAGAAAAATATATTATTTTACATAGTTTATTACATCTCAAGCAAGGTTTCTACTTATTAACTTTATATTTATAAGATTTTTTAATGTATGAGTGTATGCATGAGTGGTTTTCATGAGATTATTTACTATTTAAAACTAATTATTATTATAATTTTATTTTATGTGTAGCTAAAATGAATACTTTCATCAACAACAACAACAAGTTCAACAAGAAGAAAGTGGTGTTCATAATGGGAGCAACAGGAACGGGAAAATCTCGTCTCTCTGTTGACCTTGCCACCCATTTTCGAGGAGAAATAATCAACTCGGACAAAATGCAAGTCTATAAGGGACTTGAAATCGTGACCAACAAGATCACACACGCTGATAAACAAGGTGTACGACACTATTTGCTAGGTATACATATTTGAAAAAGACATTTTTTTGTGATTCCTTTATTTTAATGTGAATATTAATTGACAATTATTTTGTTTCACAATTTTTTAGGTGAAATTGAGCCAGATTCAAACTTCACGGCCGAAGATTTCTGTCTGAAGTGCAATATCTACATAGAAAAAATTTTGAAGGCTCAATGTGTTCCAATTATTGTTGGAGGGTCAAATTCGTATATTGAAAAACTTGTGGAAGACCCTGTATTCATGTTCAAACATAAGTATGACGGTTGCTTTATTTGGATTGATGTAGAGCAATCAGTCTTGAACCGTAGAGTTGACACGAGGGTTGATGAAATGGTCAATGCAGGTAGTTTTTGTAGTTATTTTATATATGAATCAAAATATAATAATGACTCTAACTAAAACTTTTCTTATATAGTTTTCTTAATAATACTTTTGGTTTCAAATATATGTTCACCTAAATAAAACTATTCTTAAATTTATGTTGCATGCAGGGCTGGTGGATGAGGTGAGGCAAATTTTCATTCCAGATGCAGATTACACCAAAGGAATCCGACTGTCCATTGGTGTCCCTGAAATGGCCAAATATTTAAGGGAAGAAAAAAATATAGACGGAGATGATGAATCAAAGAAGATGATTCTTCAAGCTTCAATTTCAAGTATCAAGCGTAATACTCGTATATTAATTTGTAACCAACTTGACAAGATTCAACGATTAATAAATGAGAAAATGTGGTCGGTGCATCATATTATTGCTACTGACGTTTTCAAAGAAGATAGAAAAGAAGTTGTTGACGAAGCATGGAGGAATACTGTTTTGCAACCATGCCTAGATATTGTGGAAAGATTTCTCAAAAATGATGATCACAATATTAGTATTGAGTGTACATAAACTATTATTATCTCTATCTTGTGTTATTTTTTCTCTTGGTCACTTTAATTTTTGACCTATTTTGTACAGTTTGTATCGAACTACAGATATATATACTATTCTTGTCTGTAAAATCATTGTTATTTATAGAGTAAATATTTAAGCTTTATAAAAATATTTATTTTAAGGTCTGATCCAAGCGCCAAGTCCAAGTCCAATTCCAAGTCTTTGATATTTAATATATATTAATATAAATACCTACTTACACAATTACATGAGATCATTCTTAATGTCAAGGTAATAGAGTGAAAAAATAAATGACTATGAATGTTTGGGAAGATTCTAACCTTAAAGAATAACATTCTTAACTCCAAATTTAAAATTGTTCATAGACAAAAAGAGAATATAATAAATTTGCAATCTATCGGTAAGGATCATTTAAGGAAATATATTCTACTTTCAATCACGATGATGGAAGCTTCATTCAATAAACATTTATCTATTATTACATGCTGCACAAGTAAATATAAATAATTGTAATTGAAATAGTTAACGATAATTGTTCCTTCCCTTCTAATTGAATTAGACTTAGCACTTATGACGTGTTGTTAAATAGTGTATGAATTGACGCATTATCACTTGAATGTATTCCTTCAGAAATATTATTGAGTTCTTTTTACAATCCTTTTGAAATCCATATTTTCGTCAATCTTGTATGTGATCTCATAACAATGTGCATCTAGAAACTTCATTCTAAAATTATTTAAGCCTAATCACCCAAATTCAAGCTGACGTATCTGTAGGTTTTTTCAAGAATTATCTTATCCTAAAAGATATGATTTTTTTTAAAATTTGGTATATACCAATTCATAAGTTCATAATCACATTTTTACTATAAATGCCCTGTTAAATGCGATCTCCAAACAATGTACATTTGTTAACTTTATCCTAAAATTATTTACTTGTCATTACCAAAATTCCAGTTGACATATCTATACATTTTTCAAAAGTCGTTGATCCTATCCTAAAAGATATCAGTATTTCTGAATATGGTATGATAATTAATAAGTCCACAAATACATTTTACTACAAATGCTCAATGCAATCTCTTTCATAACCACCATCAAGAAAAATATATTATTTTACATAGTTTATTACATCTCAAGCAAGGTTTCTACTTATTAACTTTATATTTATAAGATTTTTTAATGTATGAGTGTATGCATGAGTGGTTTTCATGAGATTATTTACTATTTAAAACTAATTATTATTATAATTTTATTTTATGTGTAGCTAAAATGAACACTTTCATCAACAACAACAACAAGTTCAACAAGAAGAAAGTGGTGTTCATAATGGGAGCAACAGGAACGGGAAAATCTCGTCTCTCTGTTGACCTTGCCACCCATTTTCGAGGAGAAATAATCAACTCGGACAAAATGCAAGTCTATAAGGGACTTGAAATCGTGACCAACAAGATCACACACGCTGATAAACAAGGTGTACGACACTATTTGCTAGGTATACATATTTGAAAAAGACATTTTTTTGTGATTCCTTTATTTTAATGTGAATATTAATTGACAATTATTTTGTTTCACAATTTTTTAGCTGAAATTGAGCCAGATTCCAACTTCACGGCCGAAGATTTCTGTCTGAAGTGCATATCTACATAGAAAAATTTTGAAGCTCAATGTGTTCCAATTATTGTTGGAGGGTCAAATTCGTATATTGAAAAACTTGTGGAAGACCCTGTATTCATGTTCAAACATAAGTATGACGGTTGCTTTATTTGGATTGATGTAGAGCAATCAGTCTTGAACCGTAGAGTTGACACGAGGGTTGATGAAATGGTCAATGCAGGTAGTTTTTGTAGTTATTTTATATATGAATCAAAATATAATAATGACTCTAACTAAAACTTTTCTTATATAGTTTTCTTAATAATACTTTTGGGTTTCAAATATATGTTCACCTAAATAAAACTATTCTTAAATTTATGTGCATGCAGGGCTGGTGGATGAGGTGCGGCAAATTTTACATTCCAGATGCAGATTACACCAAAGGAATCCGACGGTCCATTGGTGTCCCTGAAATGGCCAAATATTTAAGGGAAGAAAAAAATATAGACGGAGATGATGAATCAAAGAAGATGATTCTTCAAGCTTCAATTTCAAGTATCAAGCGTAATACTCGTATATTAATTTGTAACCAACTTGACAAGATTCAACGATTAATAAATGAGAAAATGTGGTCGGTGCATCATATTATTG